GGAAATATCATGATAATCATCTAGTAGCTGTCTCTTATACACTCACTCTTCAGAAGCTTGATCAACTGTTAAACTAGGATCGGGTCTACGGGATAATGAATCCGCATTCAGATGTGTCTTACCCGATTTGTACACAATCTTCCAATTGAACATATTCAAATCAAGAATCCTTCGTGTTTGACGACCTGTCAAATCATTTTCTATATGTAACCCCTGTAAACCTGTCAAGGGTTTGTGGCCTGTAACAATAAGAATGGTTACCACGCAAATAATGCTTAAAATGCCTGACACTCCACACAATAGCATACAACTCCCTATCATAAGTAGACCACTTCTCACTTTTGCGATAACCCGTTCCTTACCCTCCTGAATTTGAGTCAATACAGAGCCAATAGAAAATTCTGAAGCATCTGTGAAAAGTTGAAATTGTAAATTAAAATCAGGATACGCCGCAATTGGTGGGTTATCAAGTTTTCTCTCAATATGTTAAAAGCATGATGACACTCATCTCACAAACAAAAGGTACAGGGTACGCCTTTGTGTGTTACTGTAGTAGTTGCAGAGGACGGAAGTTTTTCACGAAACGCCTGTAATATGAGCAAAGACCCACAAAACCTCTGACCTGGGTGACATTACGTGGAATAGGCCAACATTTGACCTTCTCAAGATTAGCAGGGTCAGGATCTATGCCGGCTTTGGAAACAACATGAGCCAAAAATGTGACATGCATTTTTATTGGGTCAAATTCTGTACCGCCACCAGTTAAAACAAATTTAATTTTTTCTATGATTTGATTTTCATCATTTTGCTATTATATGATTTTACATGTGTAATTTATGATTAAGCTTTAAAAAATAACTTTGTCAAATTAAAATTAATTTTAAACCCATTTTATTATTTTCCATCCCGCAACTTATTAAGAATTCCGTATTATTCCGTACTACCATTATGAAGTATAATTTGTTTTTAAAAGTGTTTGCATCGATTCCATTTCCATAATTCTTAACAATATTATGATTATAAAAGTGTAATTTATGATTTTGGCTTAAAAAGTAATTTTGGAAAATTTTAATTTTAAACTAAAATAATTATTTAATTCCGTCAAACCACCTTTTGGAATTCCGTCCCGCCACCATAAGAACATTGAAAGCTGCATGATACCTTTAAATAATGTAAAGCTATTGATTTGATTCCACAAATGTTGTTGTGATCCATGATTATAGAGTTCTTTAGTACTATAACACTGCCATTTCTGCCAAAATGTGCAGGGGGTATAAATTACCCCTTAAAATACAAGCTTACAATACATAATGGTCTATATATAATGATGATTAGACCTACAGTATCAGTGTATTTCTCCAAATCTTTAATTTAATGTCTTTACCTTGTTAAAATGTTCCATACACCTATGGCATGAAGTATCAGCAATGTTAATATTCTTTTCAATTTTACAGATAAAAACTTTATTTTAAAGAAAGCATCGAATTTGGGGTAATTTTAAAAATTTCCGTCACGCCAATTCCTATCCCGCTACCCTGACCATTTTATTTAATTTCATTTTATTCTGCTCAGCGAAACATTTAAATTTATTGATATAGCCTATGGTGATGAAGCATTAGTTGCTACTCAAAAGTATGTATTTAAATTTACAGTACAATTTTAAAGTTTGAATTAATTGAGAAGATAACATGTTGTCTCATTTTTATTCAATTTGTTCATTCCGTCCCACCACCAAAATGTTTTTCGTTGCCATGGTGATTTGATAAGGTACTGTTTTTTCTGTTTTGCGTCAAATTGAAGTAGGTATCATTACCTTGCTAAGGATCATAAAACAAGTTTCATAAACTAGGCAGTTAGAGAACGGGATCTAAATAACTGTCCAAATTTCTGTCCCGCCACTGGAGGGGAGGGGGTTTGGATTAGGCACTGTATGCATATTAATTTTCCTATAATCTACACAGAAACGAAAGGTGTTATCCTTTTCTTAACCATAAATATAGGTGAGCTCCGTGGGCTATGACTAGACTCAATGATGTCCTTATCTAATAACTCATCAGACTGTCTCCTTATCTCCTCTCTCATCTAAGTCCTATAAATATGCTGCCTCATTCTCAGTATCTATGGTGTGTTTGATTAAATCTGTACGACTGTAATCCCTGTTTGTTTTGCTGAAAATATCATGATAATCATCTAGTAGTTTGAGGACCTTATCTTTTTCTTCCTCTGTTATTTAAGTTTTTAGAGGGAATATCAAAAGATAAATGTGATGAAGGTTCTGTCAATGGACTAGAAATTGAAGTAACCACTTCACTAATATAATACTCATCCTCCTTCCTATCACAAGCAGAGTAAAACTGACCTACGGGCATTTCCTCACGAGTTGGATTAATCAACAAAATAGGTATTATCCTGTTGTCTACAGTAGCAACTGTCCTTCCACAAATAATAGGCATATTCTTTATCAGGCTCCATTACACCTTCGTATCCATGAGGGACAGAAATACATTCAGGGGCTGACACTTTGCATCAACAGCCATTTCCACACCTGCTGGAACAACCAATGCTCGTGGTAAAACAACATACAAGTATGTACAGTAAAGCGACTTGTCGGTCAGTACGGAATGTATCAGCAATCTTCATAACTCCAGTTTTCAAATCAATAACTGCCCCATTTGACATAAGAAAATTCCAACCCAATATCATGGGTCTCTCCATACTATTTGAGACATGAAAATTATGGTTAAGCGTAACATCCCCAATACGCAAGTTAACTCTAACACAGCCTAACTTCAAGGGGGCTGCCGTCAACTGACTTAGCCGTGTGAAAACTTTCTCAAACCTTCTAACTTATTACATTTACGAAACTGATTAGAAATTAAAGAAATGTTACCACCAGTGTCAATTAAAGCACTGACTTCGTGACCCTCAACATACAACTGTATGTGGGAGTTAAATCCCTAATAGGAACACCAAAAATCTCATCTGAATTATGTACAAGTTGGTCATCTGCTGATGACAACTGAGGGGTCTTTGCATATCACTAGTATTTCCACTTGCATAAGCCGAATATTGACCCACATTTCCAGCTGACTTTAGTTTCCCGAACTAGAATATTTGGTGTTAAATGTAACCCGTTTGGGACTACTGTACCTGTGTATGCCCTGCAGTATGGAATGTTTTGTCTGCAATGTGTGTCAGCATGCTCATATCTACCCTGCGGATATTCGGGCGTCCTATCTCGGTTACGGGAGTCCGAGCGATCATATCTACCCAGCTGATATTCGGGTGTCCTGTCCCTACGCAAAAAGGAGGAATGGTTCCGATAATAATCAACATTAGGTACCTGTCAGGGATTGCATCCCTGGTACAGGGCCTCCCACGTTCACCACCGGTATCCCTATCCAGTGTGCTCTGTAAGGTAGAAACCACATTTGTTAAATCCACTAAAATGGATTTCAAATCCGATACTTCCGATTTTATGACATCATTCGCTGTCAGTAATGTATCGACATTACTATTAGATTTAACGTGCAAACCTTCCATTTGACTAGTTAGGGAATTCGCACCATCCAGCTGATGGGGGTGGGAAGGGAAATTGGAATCAGTTGTGAGTGAGAATTGGTGAGCTTCATTTGCGCTCTCCACCTGTTGGGCAATCTTAACAGCGGCCTCTAACGTTGTTGCACCATGTTCATGACTTTTCATTTAAACTTAAAGATGTATAGTCCGATGGAACCCAGAAATCCTTGAAAAATATAAATTAATTCTGAATTTCTTAAATTGTATATTTGGATGAGTAACAATCATAATGTTAAGAAAATGAATTTAAAACAATTTTAGTGGTATTTCTTATATAATACACACTTTGTTAATGTAAAAAAATTCATAAAGAATTACAGACACTGGAAGCGTTTCTAGAATTGTTTGGTTATTACCAGCCCACAATTCAGAGAAAACAATTTTTAAAATAGTCTCAAGTTCATGATATTTATTATTAAAATGGGTAAGTTAAATCAAACATTTATTTTTGAAGAATTTTTCATTTAGTTTATCGGACAATACAGCTTTATTGGAACGTGGATGATTAGATATTAGGTTTAATGATTAATGTTAATTCCTTGCTAACTCACCGTTTTCCTTCTTATCCAATTTCTCTTATTCCAAAAGAATTATTCAAATCAGTGCTGCATTATACGTTTTTGGTTTGCTGATTTCTGTACTGTGATATTAATGCAGATCAGTTATTGTCTATGCCAGCTTTCAATAGGGCTACAGCATCATTTTCCAAATCATTTATAATTTGAAATTCAGTGGGGAACTGCAAAGTAAATATAAATCATATTTAGTTCATTCCTAATCCGGGTACTACTTATTACTACTTATAATATACTAGATCTCTAAGACAGAGAATAGATAAGTTCATTAAAATATGTATTATTTATCCTGTAACTGTCATGATCATAAGCAAACACAATGAAAGATACACATAAAAAAAACATTCAACCACGGATTCTTTAGTGGTGTGTTCAATTTGTAATTGAAAACTGTAAATGAATGTTATGCACATGGTGTTAGTTAAAGATATACTGTACCTTGCTAATTGACCACTGGTAGGGAGTAAACTTGATGTGGTCTATACATGTACAATAAGATTCAATCCCAAATTACATTTCTAAATTCCAAATAATTCTGTGTTATTTATTTGTTCAAAAACCGAAAGGTCCACTGATTAATCTCAGATAAGTATAATACATACTCAAAGTATTGAAATACACGCCATCGTGTTGAGATTCAATATTTCGACATTAATTATGTCATCATCAGGAATGAAAAATTATCCATATTAGCAAGCTTATATGCACTAGTACCAAAAGTGTTTAACCAATCAAAATATTACCTCTAGTAGGTGACATAGCAGTGATTTAAACAAAAGATCAAAGCATTCTTACTCTAATGATCAAAGTATACCTACAAAAACAAAGAAAGCTCTTTTGAAGCTCTAAGCCCATTGTTAAAGGGTGCAGTCTACGTATGGCGAACGCTTCTTTAAACAATAGGAGAGACCAGTTTCGGGAGCTGTCAATAATGCTAGTACTAGAAAAAATTAAACCTAATTTATTACTTACATTACAGACGACATTATCATTTTCAAGTATACCCTGTAATCCTAAAACAAATTGGAATGCCTCACAGTTTTTAACATGATCAAATATAACACTATCAGATCGTGAAGAATGTTCTTTAAGTCTAGTTATTAAGCACCTATCTGTCTTACCAATATAATCACTATTGCAGCCTGGACATTTAAAATGATAGACAACAGAACTTCTGTAATCCTTTAAGGGGTTTGATCCTTAGTAGATATAAAATGAGAAACATTTTTATACTGCCATAAAGTTACAGTATGAATTTTACCTCTTTAAGTGTTTCTTTACCTTATTTAAACATCTACGTAAAATGAACTCACCTGGTTTTCCTAAATAAGGCAATCTAACCAAAATCTTAATCAAGCTATCATCAGTAGGCCTATGTATACATTTAGGTTCATTTAATTTCTTAAGTACATTAATAACAACTTTTAAAGGGTACCCATTCCAACCTGATGTTACTAAGCTCTGTTTGAAGTTTATCAGGAGTACACAATCTGTGGGCTCTAGAAACTAAACTACGAATCCAGGAGATCTCATGGTTCCATGGAGCAAAGCTATCATAATGGACATATTGACCTGTATGTGTATTTTTACGATATATACTCATGCTTTCTACACTGTTGTTAAATTGTAAATCCAGAAAGTGTACTGTGTCACTGTCTTCAAAGATTCAATGTAGCTTAGAATTTGCGGGAAATCATTGGGTAAATAGGCGTATGGTTCCACTTTATAGTAAAAATAGGTCTGTATAATTCTCTTGTTTACAGTATATTCATTTTTTTATTGCAAGTGTTGTCATATAAATAGATTACCAAGGACTAGCAGTAGTGTGTGTATACATGTGCCTTGGCTTAATTCCATGATGCCTTGCTTGATAAGGCTAATGACATGACTTTATTATTGAGCGGTGTCGCCTATTTTTCTATGAAAGTATAAGGTCTGCATCAAAATTATTGGAAAAATTTGACTCAATTGTAATAATCACAAAGGGGAAACTTATTCTCTCGATCTAGGCCTAGATTCTGTACCATAACAGTGACGAAGTCTAGCTCTTTTTGTGCATTCAAATTGTATGAATATGTTGTTGGGATTGTAAAGCGTGGTATTATTTCGAACTTCTTGGACTAAAACTTGTAGATGTAGGGATTATGAAGTTCAGACGGTATGATGACGGAGGAACTAGGCTAAGTTTATGACTCATATAGGTCTATGCCACTTATATCAATGTCACCAGAGCAGCTGCCGTGAAAAGCAGAATCCAAGCAAGCCCGAGCAGGCTTGCTTATAGATTTTTCGCCAAGCGAAGAATTTAAGCAAAGCCTTGAGGCATGCCAAGAGTTTGGTGGAATCAGTCCTTGTTTGATAAGGTTATACATAGGCCTAGCTAAATGAAACTCTTACTAAAGTGGAACCATAAGCCTATTTATCGATAACAGTACTAAGTCAAACAATATTGTACTTTTTGATGTTCTAGTTTCCCAGAACTGTACATCGTTCTCGTTTCACCGCTCATCGCGGGTGATCTGCAATGCAATGCCAGTCTTGAAAAATGACGTCACACACATTCTGGCACTTCATTGGGTGATGGTGATGTAATGCCATTTACCGTACCTTTAGCAAATTGAAGTAGAAATACGGTACCTTATCTCTAGCCACGGCGTTAAAAAAATGGGGTCAAAAACATTTTTCAATCATAGTGGTGTAGAATAATCTTTTGAGAAGATTTTCCAGAAAAATATATGTGATACGACCCTCCGTTATGGAGTTATGAATTTAGACAAGAATTTAGCCTCAAAGCTGGGGACGGATCATTATTCCGAAGGCCCATTGGTCCGAAGGTCCATTGGTCCGAAGGTCCATTGGTCCGAAGGTCCATTGGTCCGAAGGCCCATTGGTCCGAAGGTCCATTGGTCCGAAGGCCCATTGGTCAGAAGGTCCATTGGTCCGAAGGCCCATTGGTCAGAAGGTCCATTGGTCCGAAAGTTTAAGATAGGACACAATAAGACCGCGGTACCATATTTCATAAATAGAAACAAGAACCATAGTGACAATCAAACAGCATGACAATAACCTAATATAAATTACACTTATACATAAAAATTACTTCTCCTACCATGCTCCTACTAGGCCTAGGCCTTCCTCCAAACATTCTAACTTCCGAGCCTGAATAGTGTAAACGGGACAGCAGTTCAGGGTTGCCAGATTGTCGACAGGCTTCACGGCCAAACACACGCCATCTCACGGCCAAATTCGGCCAAACTTTTTTTCGATATCGGCCAAAATTCGGCCAGATTTTAATCTGATTAGAAGACAACGATTAGAAGACAACAGTGGTTCATTTGAAATACTACAAAAATCAGCGTTCATTCGTTTGCAATTGAAGAAATGCAAATGATATACACAGAACAATGTTTAAAATAAATAGCCTATGTTCTTTAGTTGATGGCATGCAGGCCAATTTAGGGGCGAATCCAGAGATGTCCGAAACGGGGAGGGCCGGGGCCGAAAAAAGGGGAGGAGCAAAAGTGGGTCCGATCGAGATAACACCAGAGTAACTTCGAAGAAGTCTATGCAAAACTTGCTAGAAATTGGAGGTGCCATCCGACCCGAATGATCACATCATGGACCTATTAATAATTATTAATAGGTCCATGATCACATCGAGCATTTATATATGGCGCTCTACATAAAGAACACTGCGGCACCTAGGTCTATACAATTTAATTGGGCAATAATAAATTAAATAAATTGCAGTAATTTATATTCAAAAGAAATTCAAAAGAGATAGAACCTCCAACTAGTATGGAATATATACAAAGACACACAATATGGTACAAACTTGCAATGAACTGTCTTCATAAAGCTTAAATGAGGATAAACTTCATGAACAATATATTTCACCCGAACAATTTAAATTATTAAGTGTAACTGTTATTTTAATAAATTAAATTATCTTTTAAATAAACTCTCTTACGCCAAATCAGCTGAATCGGGGAACATGATTAAGTGTTTAGTGCAAGTACAAACAAAGGTACAAGATTAGTATCAAATATAGAAATTAAGATAACAAAAACAAAATATCCAAAACAAGTCTACGTTATATTAGGCCTAATATTGAAAAAAAAATGTAAACTTTTCAAAAATTCGGCCAAATATAGTTTGGCTGTGACTTTTCAAATGCTACGGCCAGGCAAGTTTTTTTACGGCCAGATTTGAGGAATCTGGCCGTCAAAAAGGCCAAATGGCAACCCTGCAGCAGTTCCACTATTTATTGGCCAGTGCAGGGTTGCCAGATTGTCGACAGGCTTCACGCTGGCTTAACGGCCAAACACACGCCATCTTGTGGAGTGGAGTTGAATAGCTTGGTGGTTAAGATGCTTGCCTTCCAATCCCAGGGTCCTGGGTTCAATTCCTGCCAGTTGCAGGATTTTTTCTCACGACCAAAACAACTCCACTCCCTAAATCTCATATGGAGATTTAGTTTGTGTAAAGCATTGTGTATGTTTGTCTTGTGTAAGGGATTGTCACCTACAAGTAGGATAGTGATATATTCGCTGTTGACAATCCTTGGCACATGTATTGTGTGCCTAAATAAATAAAAAATAAAATAAATAAATAAAAACAATGTTTACTTTCGTAATTGGTTTACACAAAATTTGTTGCACTTGTCACTTGATCTAAGCACAGATATCATCTCAAATTGAGTTTTCAATAAAATCTATCATGGTACCAAAATACTGGCAACCTTCATTTTGTTTGGCACATTCTTTATAACTATAAAGCTTTATAGCAAATCTGTATAATTTATGGCTTACAGTATGACACTAATAACAATGTAGTATGCAATTGCCTAGGATTGTGAAACCAAATATTCACAACCTTGTCTAATAAAAGGATTTTGCATTTAATCTTCAATGAAATGCATGTTTTACTTATATACTACATTATGTACATCAGCTACACTGTAAATTTGGATACAAGACTCTAGCCACCAACTAGACTGTTCGTAATCACATACCCAACACACAAAATTTAAAAAAGAAAAAATTGCTATACGCGTTCAGACGGTCTAGGCACGAAGTTGGCTATAATTATAACTGGTCTATACATTTCCATTTAAAACTTTTGTTATTTTGTTGTGCCTTCATAATGCAATTTTTTTCTAATTAATAGATGATGGTACATGCATGTTTAAAAAATAGCATTTAAATTACCTTTTCAGGATTCATTTATTTGTTTGTTCAGAAATTAAGTAAAAGTAACCATTACGGTCAACTTATTTCCATTTGGTCCCAAAATCATTTTAAAAAGCACAGTACAATTCCTACAATGATGAATTTCTTTAAAATCATAAAATACACCGTTTAGAGGTAAAAAAAAAAAAAAAAAAAAAGATTCCAATTTTGGTAGAATAATTCGTAAGTAAATTACTTTTTAACTGGGAAACCTTGCAATTTATATCCCAGCTGGTGCACCCTCACATCTATTGAACACCCACATAAGCTATTGGCATTCAATATGCAAATTGTAAACCCAGGAGATTTGATCACCAATATTATATTACATTTTGAAGATCAATACAAAACAATTAGTTCCTGAATTGGACAGGAGTCTAGTAATAATGTATCATATTAAATATTATCGATCAACAATATCGTGCAACTATTGTTTACTACTGTCCAGTAAATTGTAAATCATTACCATATTTGGTATTAAACTTTTACAATCGAATAAAATATAACATTAAGTGCACATTAACAAAATACTAAAAAATACAGGTCTTGCACTTAACAATACTTAGTAAAGTTGCAATCAAATATAACACCTGTAGAGGTTTTTAATTTTTAGACCTGGAATCAGGTGCAACAAAAGTTTTAATTATGCCAAATAAAAAAAATCAATTAATAGAGTACTGAACACCTGAGATGTTCAGTTTGATGTGTATATATATATATATTATATTATATAAAATAACATAGATAAAAGACATTAGTTCTGCTAGAGAAAACTTACACAAATATTAATGACAATGGCAGTAGCCACACTGTATGTACAAAAATGATGGTTGGAAGACAGTACTACTCTAATGCACTAAATGAAGCAACTATAACATCCTTTTTCAGAATGATATAATTAACTAATTATGCCTCGGAAAGCTAAAATAAAATTCTTTCAATCTCTATTTATATGAAAACCATATTTTAGAAAATATATTTTATTATCTTCACCTTGGAGACAGTAAATACTTGCACTTCAAAGTAGCTTTACAGGGCAAATGTTATTGTTACTATTACTATGTAATACTAATTGAAACGGGCAAGATAGACAGCTTAAAGTGCTGTCTTCCAACCATTACTTTAATAATAATAATTACCCCACAGCACTATATTATTGGCTTAAAAACCTTTGCATAAATACTAACATTATTTACAAGAACACGCAACACCACAAAAAGCCCCTTGCTCACTCATAAACCATTGACAACTCAGAGAACAGAAAACAAACAATTAGTAAATATAAACATCATTAGGAGTAACTGTGATTAACTACTTGTACAATTGATAATTTCAGTCCGGTTTCTATGAGTTTGGCTGTGATGTCTTATACTGGTCCAGTAGGACTGATGAAGCCAACGCCAAATCATAACCCATTGATTTTAGTAGGTTCTCGCAATGTTCACGCGATGTGATGCCTAAGCGAAATAGCTGCTCCCCCTTTAGGTAATTGACAGCTTCCTTCACATCACCTGAGCAACTGATGAGGGCAGTCTCACATTCCTCTGTTATGACGCCATGAACCTGTGCTTGAACTTGATTAACTTTGAAGCGAGGAGCATGAGGATTGCCGAGGAACTCGCCAAATGGGGTGTCCTTATTTTTAGGTGACAGCGGGCGGTTATGGAAGGGATCAAACCCAAAGCTTACTGGAGGTGCAGATGATATTCTCTGTGAAGGTGACACCACCACTTGATTTAATGGTGAGGTAAGGCCTGAGGCAGCATGGTTGAAAGCAGCCGACTGGTCATGTGGAAGAATCGGCCTCATAGAGGACAGATCCAAGCCATGGTGACTCTTGTTGGGTTTCATTGTGTGCTTAGACTTATGTGCCTGTCCAACACTCTGGGGGTTCGATTGCAATACATTGTGAGCAAAGTCCACACTGTTTGATGTGACGCCACTCTGATTCACAAAATAATGACCGGATGGTTTGCTGTCATGCATGAATGGTCGCATTTGTGTCATGTTGGCTGCTAAAGTGGAAGTCCTTGTTGGAGACTTGGGATTTGCAAATGTTGGAACGTTTTCAAATTCTTCCGGACTCGAAGAACGATGCGAGTTTGGCTTACAAGGAAGTAAGAAATAATGTGTGTTGCTTATCTTTTTGCCATCCTGTGTGATTGGCAATATTACATGGGTTTTTGACTTTGACTCCAAACCTCTGTTTGGATCAGATAATTGACGTGACAGAAGAGGTTTGTGTTCTCTAGGTGGTATTGGAGGACCATCATGCAACTCTGAATTTGTTCCACTAGAATTCTGAACAGCTTTCATGTTAACATGATGCATCATGGGATCAGATCTGCGTTCGTCTCTCGGTCTATTTGAATATTTCTTGGAAGCGGGTACATGGAATATTGGCTGTCTTGGTAGAGGCTCTGGTTTACTTTTTTCATTGTTAGGTGAAAAGCTAATCAGGTCTCCAGTGTCGGCTTCCTTCTGCATGTCTGACTTTCGATCTTTCTTTGGAAATTTGAGCAACATCAGATGTGGTTCCTCTTTTTCTGTTTCTTTTCGTGTATTTGAAGCTTTCCCAGTTAGACCGTAGTCAACAAAGGAATCAATACTAGTGGAGAGGTCATCTCGCGATGCACTGATCAGAGGAACTTTGTCACTGAGAGAATCACGAGGAGCACTCTGTGAAATTTGTCGGTGGAAAATACCACCTCTTTTCGTTGCTGCTGATTTCACAACTTCTTTCATTTCTTCCAATGGGTCTCTTGTTGATTCATCAGTCAATTGTTTTTTAACTTGGCCATGAATTGGTAAAGAAGAAGTAAGAGCAGGCTTGCCTAATGTGATAGGAGGTGTACACGAGGTCACTAAAGGCTTGGTTGATGTTGTAATAGGCCTACTGGATGGTGCTACAGGTTTATTTAGAATGGTAGCAGGTTGGGCAGATGTTGCTACAGGTTTGTTTGATGTGGTAGTAGGCTTACTAGATTGTGCTACATGTTTATTTAGCATGGTAGCAGGCTGGGTAGATGTTGTTACAGGCTTGGTTGATGTTGTAGCAGGTCTGACAGAAGACTGAACAGGCCAACTTGATGTGGGAACTGCTTTACTTGATGGCATTTGGCTTTTCTCAACTCGACTTGGCATACCTTTTGTCGTATCTGTTTGTAAATTGGCATGATGATCAAACTTATTTTTCTTGTCAACCTTTCCATACATTTCCATCACACTGAAAGTTGGAAGTACTTTAACTGGTTGTAATGGTTCATTTGATGGCAGTTCTACTGGAACAGGGTCATACAAATGAGGAGTAGTCCTTGTATCATTCGGAACTTCATCATAAAAATTTGTCCATTGATTTCGAACTGTTTGTACTTTTTGGAGTCCCTTTGCACAAAGTGCATTTCCTGGCATTGCTGAAACCTGTGAAGCTTTTGCATCCGGTTTTGAAAATGGATTCTGAATAGCATCCATTTCACCATATGTCTCCTTTGGCACACTGTCATATGCATGCATCACAAATGGATTACCAGGATTTGAAGTTTGATATGAACTATTGTTTTTTGTGGGCTCCTCACATACTTCATCATATTTTGATGGAAATGCAACATCATCGTATAAATCTGTTATAGCATGTCCTGGTTTCAGTGCGAGTGGCTTGGGTAGCAATGTTTCCGTAGTAGTCGGTGACGGCGCTGCCTCATCCATAAGCAACTGCATGTCAGGTGCGGAATTTACATTTTTCATTGGTGAACCAACACTTAGTGTATCTTCTGAGAGGTCGATCAAAAGTGCAGTATCCACATCAACTGATTTACTTTTTGATTTCCGCTCTTTGTTATCATACAAGTCTAAGGAGGATGATTTTGGCTTTGAGTCGCTATGACTTGGTCCTGAATTTGTTCTTTGACGTCTACCTAGTGTCTGTGAAGTCTGGATATTGCACTTGTTGGATCCACGAGTGCCACCTGTAAAGATACAAAGGTTAGAAATACTAAAATAATCCAATTTGAAACTAGTTTTTGTATTTTTACTTATAAGGTTGTGCAATGTTGACACTTAGACTTTTTGAACCTGTTCCATCTTTTTTTGCCTTCATGTTGATTTTTTGCTGAATTCAATGGCTTTTTAACATAGGTAAAAAGGTATACAAATATTCAGACTTTTCTATATGAGGTATCACCACAAAATAAGATACATTATATTGAGATAATCACCAAAATAGGTCAAAAAATGAAATTTTTTACCAAATTTTGAGTTCATTTTTTTAATACTATGAATTGACTTTTTTACTATATATAAAAGCATTCTTTGCGCATATTTTGTAATTCCAGTCTTATTTTCACAGGTCAGTTTAACTTTTAAATCGATTTTCTCACAACCAGATTTCCATAGATCTAAACAAACATCTCTGGAACTATTTATCCTAAAAAACCCTATCAAAGCACAAAAATTAAAGCGTATACTGTAATGTGATCTATTATTTCAATATACTATCTGAATTTCTGATTCTCCAAACATGACTCGTGTTTTTAAATAGTTGTTTATTAATTCATCAAAATGGCAGTCAAACTCCTGTGCAGATGTATTAATTTTCTTTAAATCAAATACCGTAAAACCTTGAAAAGAAGCCCTGGGCGGCTTCTTTTTTTTTTTTTGCACACTTTGGATGGGTTTCTTTTCGAGGCTATGTTTGCAAAGTAAAGAGGGGGGGGGGGGGCTCCTTTCAAAATAAATGCTGTAAATCACCTAAACTATTGTATAAACCAAGTGTGATTTTTAAAAATACATTTTGTATTTGAAATTCATGTACAGTGTGTATATTGTACTATCTCGAAAAACAAAGGCCATGCTATCTTGAAAAGAAGCCCATGGGCTTCTTTTCGAGGCTACTTTTGTAAAGTAAAGAGGGAGGCTTCAGTTCGAGATTAAGCACACTGAGCTTGTAATCGAGGTTTTACAGTATATGGTATACTTCTTCAGGACTATATGAATTTTACTGGTATTAACAATTCTTTATGTTTAGTTTTTAAATTATTTTCACTGAGATTTTGGATTTTCTGACAAAAACAAACAGAGGTCCCAAGTTGGTAGAGTCACTTCCGGGAGATCTGGTTAAATAGGCTTCCTTAACACAGCTAACTCTACGGCCGTGCCAATGCAAAACAACGTAACTGCACAAAAATATAAAAGCAGTTACATTGTTTTGCTACAGGATGGCACAATATTTTGCAGCATATTGTAATACATATTGGTACTGTTCTCCATGAGTCAATTGATATTAAAATAGCAAAAACATGCAAATATTAAGAATTTGCGGAAGATGGGTTATTTTCCAGGGAAATTCTTGCTTTGGGGAGTGCGGGAGACCGTTCCGATTACCAAGAGACTTCTGCATCTTGCGGAAGACTTGGGATCCATGTAATAGGATCTAATATTTAAATACAATATTGAGGCTAATAACATAGCAGCTATGATTACCTTTTGATCTGTCAGGTAGGGTAAGGGGCTTGGGCTTCATTTGTTCATACTCATCACTTGGCTGCATTGGGTTCTTGATATAAAGGCTTTAAAAATAAACAAAACAATATTAGCATTCTGTTTCTAACTTCTATTGTATGAATAATCTATTTTTTTACACTTTATTTATACATTATCACATAGATTATTTTGTTATAGATTTTTTTTTTTTACATAATCATTACATTAATATTATTACTATTGCTTTTACTACTTTATTATTATGCATAAACACAGGAAAACCTTGAAAAATTATTTTGTTTTGTTTTCTCTTATTTTGTAGTCAAGGGAAATTCTGTTAGTAACTATTTATTGTACATCAATTTGTATTTCATCATTTTAAAGGATACTGTACTGTATATCTTGGTCTTATATTTATAAGTTTTGATTTTTCTTACAATAAATATAGACTTTGTTCTTATATTTTTCAGAAATACAATTTGCATACAGTTAATGTAGCCAGGCATAATAGTTAATTTTTTTTATTGAAGTATTATTTCCCTCTGCATACATATACACAATCAATCAGGGAATTACGCAAAATATTGTATCCAAGTATAAATGATCAATGAAGTGTTGTTATCAAGCAATTAATATTTATGCGGTAATATGTCTTTATTATGTAAATATTTATGAGGTACCTGAGTGATGAAAAAATCTTTAAAATGAACTTTAATCTATGCATCTAAGAAGCAAAAAATACACAAACTTACTCATCTATAGCTTCTGGACAACCCCAGGACTTTCCACCAACCACATCTCCATGACCAGTGTGAATAAAACTATTAGTCAATGGTTCACTTATATCAGCACTTGTCAATGTGCCCGAAGTTAACAGAGTTCGTGGAAACTTTCCAAATGCGCCAGTCCTCTTGTTCTGTCCTATCCAAAATTGGTTGTCAGCTCTGAAAGACATTAATACAATTAAAATTCACAACTTTTTTTAGTCTGGCAGCATTTTTCAATGTACCAATCCATGTATTCATGAAATCAAGTAGAGTTAATTGCATTGCTGTCCTGACACTTCTTACCTGCCATTGATGATGATGATCCTATCTCCATCATTCATTAACATGTTGTCTGCTTCCTCCCAGCTCTGCAAGGCTGACATCTCAAGTGGGCGTATCTATTAGATCAAGAACTACAATGTCAACTATAGTCAATAGAAACGCTTTTCATCAAACTGCTGTGCAGTGTCCCCGGATCAGCTCCGTCTCTGTTCTTCTGATAGATCATTGTGGTCTTTCCATGTTTCGAGATCCCCTCAAAGGCACAAATTTGGGACCAAAAAAGTGTCTCCTAAATAGAGTTGGCTGTACTGTTAAATGATTTACTTTCCCTCGTTTTGAGTCATCTTAATAGGGGTATCTCAAAGGAGAGTTTGACATGAATAACAGCATGTGCAGCGATATAATGTATCGTATCTACTGAACACTGACTAAAATTTTGTTTGAGAAGTACATTCATTATTTTGATTGATTGGTTAACTTGTTTATGAAGTTCCAAACTGTACTCTATATTTAGATTAAGCAGAAATTCCTCATAATAGTTCACATTGCCAAAAAACATAAATTTGTGGTTTATTTATTTATTCATTTCCACCAACAGTGAAGAACCTTACCTTACATAAATAGTCTTTGATGGCTTTGAATGTTGGTCTTTTCTCTGCTGGATGTTGCCAGCACTGTAACATCAGCTGGTATATGTCCCATGGACAATTGTCAGGGAATGGCAACCGTTCGTCTTCTTGGTCAATTTTTTGCAATATCTGCAACATTGAGTATCAGACACAGACTAATTAATTAATGATTATTTTTCTGAGGCAAGCTTTTAGCTATAATTAGGATTTCAAGCAATTCATAAATGTTATGATACAATATTTACTTATATTTATGGACCATAACACTTAATTTTACGGAGAGTATGTGCATATTTTAAATCTTAGTTAAGACGTCGGCAGCGACAACGGTGATGATGCACTTCATGGCAAACAATTAATGATAAAGGTAATATTTCTAGTGAGAAAGAGGATGATAATTTTGAATTGGGTAGCAGTGCAATTCATGTTACTATAGTACAGTACCTGTGACCCGTTTAGTCCAAGCCAAGGCTCCTGTCCAAATGTATACATTTCCCACAGTACCACACCATAAGACCATGTATCACTCGCATGGGAAAAACGCCGAGATTTTAAACTTTCTGGAGCACACCTACAGGATGAACCATAATGCAAAATTACTCAAAAGAAATAATCTGTTTTTGGTGATGACATTTTTGATAAGAAAATCACTGGCTTTCCAAGGAATCAGTTTGCTAGAAAAGAATCTTGATAATATTACTAAGATAGTTTCCCACTAGGCAAATTTTCACACTGTGTTGGAGTCTCACTATTGTCTACTACATATGCGAAGACTTGCAATTACGCATTTTTCACAAACATTGCCGCTGTGTCGTCGTTGGTGGCACATACAATCATACATTCGGTTCTAGGTATAATTCTGATTGGATGTGCATTATTTCGCTTTGCAAAAAGTAGAAACTCTTTGGACACTAAAATTAGCAAAGCGCACAACCACACAAGCAAAAGTAATTTAGTGAAGGACGGACTCGCGCATGAAATTTAAATCGCGCATGAATACAATCAAAATGCTATTCGCCTAGTGGAAAACCGGCTTCACAGTAGGTCAATTTTGCTACACCAATTGTGACTAACAGTGAGGATGCTTTATGTACACTGACACTGCACTGGCTTCAATAGGATGTGCAATAAACATGGCTATCATTCACACTACTTGCTATAAACCACGGACAAAATGTTGCATTTGTTGATTTTAGTGACATACATAACAAAAGTCACAAAAAAAGTGAATATCAACTTTAGTTCAGGTAAAATAAAGCAAAATGGCATTCTTGACACTCTGAATGAGGCCAATAGAAATACAGTAAATAAATAATTATTTTTTACTGTTATTAATGGTGTAGAGTGCAGTACTGTATATAATTTACTTACCATGCATAGGGTACTTTCTTCTTTTCAGTCATAACATAATGATTTTCTTCAGCTGGAAGTGCTCTCATTAATCCAAAATCACCAATCTTTACCTGTAAAAACAAGATTATTCATTGATAGATTATGATTCCAATCTCTAATCTTCATAAAGCTGTAAAAAATAACGTAAATCAGAAATCAAGGGTGAAATATATTGTGTGGATTAAGACTTTAATATTTGACCTCTTTGTTGATCAGGACAGCTGCCCTGATTGAAATTCTACAACACAATTCTCCACATATCACATCTGTTGTTACAAGGTTATTTTAAACTTAAATTACTTTTTAAGTTCAATGACCTTTAATTACACCTGATTAATAATTAATCTAATTGTTGGTAGGCATTCCATCAGCATAGTGGGTGAAATCATGGTGAAATTAGCAAGGTAATTCAATCAGGTAAAACTTTTTACTGCTTATAATTATTAACATACATCTCAACAATAATTAAATGTAGAGGGACAGAAGTTTGCAAATCTTGGAAACAACTCAAATATTTAACTGAAAACAATGAAATGCTCATTTAAATTCAAGTGAATGAAGATTGCAAAAGTTTTTTGTTTTTTTGCTGATTTCTTAACTGTTTACCAACTAATTAATGGGTATACATGCAAAGAATATAAATGGTGTTAATTATGCACTGCAAAGGAAATATATTCTTTCAAATTTGGAATTTTCAGGTAATTCCTTCAATTAAATACAAATATGTATTTCAATTAAATATACTTTAAAAAAAGATAAGTAGGTTACACATTTTAAATTTAAAAGAACACCAAGACTGAAACTGCTTAAAATAAAGAACAATATAAAAACAAACTAAGGCTAAAGTACAATGTCAAAGGAGGTTTTTATTTTAAAAAATAGAAAAAACCAACAAATCATTAATCTGTACCATATGTGCAGTCAGGGTGAATATTGAATACTCTCTATCACTGTACAATACTAATTTTCTATCTATCTTTGAAAAATGTGTAAAATAAAAAAATAAGTACATATTTTCTAAAGCCTAAATTTGACAAAAAAAATATGAACACAGAGCCTGGGCAAGAGTTTACTGGTTTGAATTTAAAAAGTGTAATAGGCCCAATAAAATTTTTTATTATTTTATCACCCTCGCATGCATGTCTCCTATAGTATCAGAAAAGAATTTTTTTTTTAAAGATACAGAAGAATCACAAGGTGCCCGATTTACTAGCTGTTCTGGAAAAATGACCTCAGCAAAATAGCCATGGTAGAACCATTTTTACAGAAGTGGGGGAAATTGAATTGGGACTTACCTACAGCGCTATAATTTGTCAAGGCCATTTTTGGCCTGAACAAGACACAAACAGGTAGAAGGAGATAGTTATAAGCAAAGAAGAAAAAAAAACTTAGCAGACTTAGCTTCACAATAGTCATCAATTATGTAGCATATACTAGAACGGGAAGTTGTGAATGTGTACCAGGAACTGCCATGTGTATTTGGTTGGAAACACCTTGATCTATGAATTTCCTGATGGACTCAGTTTCATGTGACAATGACTGGGTAAAGACTGACCTCAAGCTTGCATTTACGTGAGTAACAGCATAACATTCATGAAATGCTGTTTCAGCAAACCTCAAGACTTTTTTTTTCTTTTCTGTTCCTTCACTTTTATTTGATCTTATAAATCTAGCTTGAAAACTGTTTATATATTTATCACACAGGCTTTGAAGTGATGGAAAATGCTGACAGATTGTTGACAATTTTTAAAGCCAGGCTCTGGAATATTTAAAAACTGGGGAGGGGGAGTGGGGGAAAGAAGCATATAACCACCATTTTTCCATGTTTTTCTCCCAGTTTTTAAATATGTGGCAAAGACAAGCCAAACCAGTCACTCGTCGCAAAAATCGATTTGAGTTATTAATACAGTGTTAGAGAGTAAAATAATAGCTATAAAATGGTAAAAAAATCATTCAAATCGGACATTTCCTTATGAAGTTACAAGCGTTTTACCACACAGCTGTTTAAAGAACAATATATGAGAAATTAACCGTCAAAGTTTATGATTTCATGCATTTCTCATGCAGAAACTATCTTTAAATCCTTAAAAAGTATTGTTTTAACATTGAAAATGGGAAAAATAACAGCATAGAATGATGTGTAGATATATAAAGGTTAATTTAATGCAATAAAATAGATTTTAAAAAATTTGACATTCCAGCATGTTTTGGCCATTTTCTCTGAAACACGATTTGCGACGAGTGACTGGTTTGGCTTGTCTTTGCCACATATTAAAAAATCTGTATCTCATTAATCAGTTTTCCAAGTTTTTTTTTGTTTTATGGCAGTTTTACAACATAAATTTATTTCTTTTTTTTTCAGGAGCCTGGCTTGAAGGCCAGAACCTAGGGTAGGGTAGGCAACCTACCAAGCTGAATGGCATTGATACTCTTCATTTAGGACCACAGGCTTAGCCAGTGAGCCGTCCGGCCGTCTTTTGGACGCCCTACAATAATTTAAGAAGACCGCTTTTACCGTGACAGCTTGGACGGCTTGGCCTAATCAGCTCGGCCTAGCCTAATTGGGCCTGGTCTACCTTTAGCAATTTCTTTATATTCTTTAAATCTATCGACTGTTACATTAAACTAAAGCTAAATCAAATTTAAGTTTGATAAAACCAACATTTATTGACTGAATGTACGTTGTTTTCGTACCAATATTCGGTGGGGGTTCCCAAAGATGGGCGCGGAAACCTGCCATTGAGCGTGAATAGGCTGACGGCAGCCAGGCCTAGCACGAACCAACAGTGCTGCAGCGTGGTCTACCGCGCTAGAGTCTAGCTGAATTTACCTTCGATAAAAACCAAATTATATTAATCGCTGGCATTCTTCCACTTAAAATATTATTTTAACTCTTATTCAAACATTTGTATGTTTTATGGCCCTTTCTATCGTGTTCTTTCTAGTTGTTAGATTGCCGAATTGTGTTGTTTAAATGTATTCTGCGATCACATCTAGCATGCACGATGTCAATAAATTGCCAACCCCAACACTCTTGTTCGTCATCATAAACATGTGCGCTGAATCCAAAACACTTGCGTTGGTAGTTTGTTGTTCTGGTAAGGTTTATTACATTAATATAGTGATTATTATACGAGAAACAGAAGAAAAGATCGAACTATTAATAAATAAATACAACAAACTTGATTTTATTAAGAAAAATACATTATCACTTTGTAAAACGTGCCAATCAGACTTTTTACGGTAATAATTGGTCAATGATGATGTCATCAGACCATTCGTAAAATCGACTATTCATAAAATTGATGTTTGTAAAATGGACGTTTTACTGTATTTTACTAACTGTATAGAGTACTATAGTTGTACTAACATTTGTAGTTTCCAGTGTTGAAAAAAAACTGAATCTGAATGTCGTGGTTTTGACGGTTTTGGTTATATATCACATTAACTTTAACCTTGTATTCATTTCCAAAAACCGAAAGGTCCACTGATTAATCTCAGATAAGAAAGTATAATACATACTCCAAGTATTGAAATACACGCCATCGTGTGGCGTGTTTTTCAATACTTGGAGTATGTATTATACTTTCTTGTATTCATATTCTACTGTTTTTATAAGTATATGTCAACGGATTATCTTGAGTTTGTTTATTCCTTCCATAAAAGACTTACCATTCAGCTAGCATTCATAGGCTTCTACTGTATACAATTGTTGTTTACTCATTGTTATTCATGAAAATACGCAATCTACTTAAAAACACACCTCATTTTTAATTACCTCATTTTAATTCGTCAGTTTTTAGTTTTTGTTTTTTAATCTGATTGGTCAGTTTTTACTTACTTTTTGTTATATTTCTGTAAATATTGTAAATATATATGGATGGGTTAATGAGATTTTTGATGATGGGTTGATGCGATTTTCTCATCAATATTCTTGATAATGATCAAATAGGTCGGAACGGTGAATTTGAAAATGTCTATCAATATTCTTGATAATGATCAAATAGGTCGGAACGGTGAATTTGAAAATGTCTATCTCTTTTCGGAGTTACTGTCTTTTTGTTTTATTTGACTGTTTTCATTTTAAAAAAATAATGGTTGTGGTATTGTCGATGTATGTAAACACCCCATCCCCACTCCCAACCTTCTAGTTGGTAGAATATAGTATACGCCAGCTATCAATTGAGCCACAGAATCCATCTATTTTATTAGTAGTCTGCAGACACTGTCATACAATCAATATTTAATAGGTATGCTAATTAATCAAAGCTGATTAACATAACAACAAAAACAGAGAGAACAGTCTAGAATATTAAACAATGTCCTGTTACAACAATATAGGGACCACACTGCATCACTTGTCCTTTTTTAAATTCAATTAATTTTTGGTTTTTCTAATTTTTATGATAATTTAAATTTATGATAAAAATAAATAATTTTGACTAAAATAAAAAGAAAACATGGTAAAACATCAGTACTAATATTAACAGTAATTTTATAGACTACCAATATTAACAGTAATTTCATTGACATTCATTATGATCATCATGCAATGTTTATATCTGTTTCATAGAGGATGCCACCATAACAAATGTACTATAATAATTACTAGCTTATTATAATATTAATATTATATACTATAATTAGCTAGTAAATACTAGTAAGTCTCATGGGCTGAACATAATAATCTGGTTTCTAAAAATATATATGAACTGATTGGTTGATATTCTCACTCTCTGGCAAAATCACTCTAAATCTCATACCTTCCACCCAAACCCAAATGTACAGTACCACAACTATTAAAAATATGAAATTTCTTTCAAAATTAATATAAAAAACTGAAATATGTATAAACCAAGATTCATCAGAAAAATTTAGACTGTTAGAATTCATCGGGCAGCAAGACCGAAAAATAAAATAGGAATAATGAAATAAAATGTGTGTTTATTAAGTAACACTCAAAAGTACTTTTCAATTCAGCCACTTCAAGAGAGCCACTTCCGGCCATCCAGCGGTATCTATTTATAAAAAAATCTCATTAGGGAGGAGGGTACACCCCCACCCAAACCCT